ATTCCAAGAGAAAAAACCCCGACAAGGACCTTAATGGCTCAGGGGCCTCTCAACAAACCCTCCCTAAGTTCATCAACTGACTTGACCGTCGAAGGTACCACAGGAAAAACTAGTCCCGTATTCCTGCGATTCTTACATGTGCAGGCTATCAGTCCACCCCACGCGTTCAGAATTGAGCATAAAATCGGAGGAGAAGCCGACCCCAACATTCATCCTCTCCTTCTTCCCCACCGTCGTCAGGATTGAAGCTGCACCCGACTGCGGGAAACCCTCATTGACTGTTTGTTCACGAGCATCAACAGTTCTTTAAATACTAAAGAAATTAAATATTAATACTAATCTAAGGCAAATTGGTAATGAAAAATGCAGGTATTTAGTTCAGATCTTTGTAAAAAATGATAGGGATAAAGCAAATGTAACATTATCAATATATTAGAAACTCTTATATGCACATTAGAAGAATTCATTATAGAGAAAAAAGTGGTAGCTCTTAATCTTATTTAAGTAATAAATTAGGAACACAAATAATTATATATATATATATATATATAGTAATGAAAAATGCAGGTATTTAGTTCAGATCTTTGTAAAAAATGATAGGGATAAAGCAAATGTAACATTATCAATATATTAGAAACTCTTATATGCACATTAGAAGAATTCATTATAGAGAAAAAAGTGGTAGCTCTTAATCTTATTTAAGTAATAAATTAGGAACACAAATAATTATATATATGAAATTAAAATTTATTCTCATTGAAATAGGAAAAAAAATCAAAGTCTGTATTTCAAAAAGTTTGTGTTAAACATTAGAAATACATTCAACTTCTTAGTGAAGTTAAATGAGAAGATAAAAGAATAACAAGCCTAGGAAAGATAACAATGCACAGAATACAACTCCAGCCTGATGTCACAATCGATGTAGATGATAAAGACGTTATTCTAGAATTTCCCAGGAAAAAGATAAAGGCAAAGAATGATTGATCTTAGCTCAATAAAAAAAATAAAATATAGGGAATAAAAAACAATATTTTCTGAATATTTTATAGAATAGTTTAATTATTTTGAGTGAAATTAGGAATC